ACGAGAATAATATCAAAATGACATTTGAGAATGCTATTGAATACATGTTCTATGCAGTTATATATTCAATAATTCGACGTGCTTTTCGAAAGTTCAAAATTCACTGCTATAAGGTACTGTTAGATTTTAGGGTGGTTTTGATAGCTTATGTATACTGCCGTCTGCAAAGTAAATATTGTATGTGTAAGTAAAAGTTTGATATGTATAGTAAACATCACTGTATTCCTAAATATCAATATCTTTAACACTTTCAGTTTCATCAGTAAATTCTCCACAGCTTATAGAGCAATAAAACGTATTGTACACACTGTTTCTAGTTTTAAATAATTAAGAGATGGTAAAAAAGGGGTAAACACACCTATCTAAGACATTATATAATCTTTATTATATCTTAAAGTAATAAGCAAACTGTATGGTTCCTTGGTTTTGATGGATTTAAAATGTAACGTAATCTATCTAAACTCATATTCTAAGGATTCAATAAATGCTTGAAATAGCAACGTCACAAGTAGGTTTATATTTCACAATTCGTTCGCTATGCCCGTGTCTGTTGTGACGTTTTAGATTTTAACGAACGTAATCTATGTATTACTGGCAAATGATTAAGTCAGGGATTTCGTTACCACAAATTACTTAAAACTTTTACTAAATTCTTCCATAGATATAAAGATTTGGTTTTGAAGTTTGGTTGTACCTGTAAAAAACTTATTTCAAACGGGATAGCACATCCTCATTTTTACGGAGATGTTGTTTACCGTGCCCGAAAAAGATCCTGGTATACTTATCGATCCTTTAAATAAACTTATTCTAAAAGGTTACCAATTCAACACTGTCATTAGACCTAGCTGTCAGTAACTGCGAGTACTCTCAGATCTGTACTTAGTGTTTTTTTGTTGTTGGGATGTACAAGTACCCGGCCACGTCCACTCTGTGTTTTTGTTATATGTAGTTCTATTTGTATCCATCTGATGTGTTAAGCCTTTTTCAACCGATTTTTATAGTTCGTTCTTATGTTGTACTGTTACACCACTGTCCCATGTTAGGGAGAGGGTTGGGATCTCGCTAACATGTTTAACCCCGCCACATTCTGTATGTATGTGCCTGTCCCAAGTCAGGACATTAATTAGGCCGTTAGTTTTCTCGTTTGAATTGTTTTACATTTATGATTTCGGGGCCTTTTATAGCTGACTATGCGGTATGGGCTTTCCTCATTGTTGAAGGCCGTATGGTGACCTATAGCTGTTAATTTCTGTGTCATTTGGTCTCTTGTGGAGAGTTGTCTCATTGGCAATCATACCACATCTTCTTTTTTATATTTACAATTTGTTCGAAATCGAATACTTCTGGACGTGTGGGCACTGATGAGGCTGTAGTGCTGCCTTGTAGTCAAATACTAAAAAAGGTGTACCATATATGAGCTAGATCTGTTTAAATTGTTGGAGAAATAATGTTCACACTGTTAAAGACTCTAGACTTACTCTTGAGTCCATGTTGAAATGCAGAGGCTATATCTGTTGTAATCCTTTTGAACATGGGAACATTCTGGACTTGATAAATGTGAGAACTAGTTGCTGAATTGTGCTTTAAACCACAGATGTAGGATGAAATATTGATTATGATAACCACACTGGTGGTACTATGATAAGAATACTGGCAATATTAACGTGTATATGCAGTCTTAATTCAGCTTCAGTCGAATAAATGTAAATTTTTATATAATCATGCCTGGAAATTGTTCTTCCCACTGACATATAATCCAGCTAAAAGAAACGAAGAAAGGTGTCAGTAATAGGCAATATCAAATGCTGTACGTATGTTAACTCTAAAAATATGTATCTGTATAACACGCAAAGTATCTGTTTAACCCATTTAGAATCATATGAAATTTCAATTAAATTATACTAAATATCAACAAGTGTCATTACTCGACTTTCTAAATCAGTAATGTATATGGAGATGCAAAATATCTTTTACATCTATTCAAAATTGCTATATTATCCACATGAGACAAGTAGGTATTTAGCATATAGAATTTACTATTCTATGTGATTGACAGCATTATGTGTCTCTCTATTACATGTGTATAGTAAAAATTTAATAAATTACTTTGCTCATTATGATCGGGCCCTTAAATTGAATAAAATGTCGTAACCTTTATCTATCTTTAGATCATGAAACAACTTTAATAATTGTTTTGCGATATATGGTGTATGTTATGAAGACAACAAGCAAAACCAAAATAACCTAAAGAGAGAGAGAGACAAATAAAAAAAAATAAATTAAAAAAAAAATAAATTTAAACACAACTTTCCAATAAAGATAATGAAACGAATCCCTTTTTGATATTTTATGTAGCTCTTTTCCGAAAACACATGTTAATATATGTAAATGAAAGCGTCAATATTTTTTTTTATATAAACAAATTAAATCGAGTATAGTTTGCCTGAAGTTTATAATTTTCAAGGAAAATTCCAAGCACCACATCTGTGTATAAGAAATAAAAGTGCTATATAGATTTACTTGCCTAGAACAGTTGTATAGAAGGTAAGGCCAGTTAAGAAACACTCGATGAAAATCTCTGCATGGTCACACATTAGATATGGATCTGATGATGTTCGATATCGCTCTCACATAATACTCTCCAAAACAGTTATAAACTCAACATGTATTGCCAATGTGTACTTCGTTCTATTGGTCATCCAAATTCAGATATATCCAAATGTATAAGTGTGTACATGTACTACACAAGTTTGCAAATATTGAAAAATCAGCTGTGTATTGGTAAAAACGACCAAATGTGAAAACAATTTAAGTTCATGTACAAAGAAATAAAAAAATAAAAAAAATGTATTTTTAGTAGCAGTTCATTAATGCATCCACATTGTGTCAATGATACAGGTTGAAAAAAGTCCAGTTGTTAAGTTGAAATAATATCAAATTGTATAATAGCACTGTAAAACTCTATCTTCTGGTTAGACTGCTATGAACCAAGAAACTGATTATTCAAAAACCATTCAAATGGCTTTACACACAGATTGGGTACATCAATCATCCAGTGGGAGGAATAAATAAAGGCAACAGTAGTATACCGCTGTTTAATAGTCATCAATCGATAAAGAGAAAACAAATCCGGGGCACACACCAAAACCGAGGAAAACACATCGACTATAAAAGGAAAACAACGGAACAACAGAAACATAGAACTGCTACAAAACAAACGCCAACATACATAGAAACGGACTATTTGAAAACAACTGCCATATTCCTGACTTGGTACAGGACATTTTAAGAAAAACATGGTGGGTTGAACCTGGTTTAATGGCTAGCCAAACCTCCCCCTTAAATGGCAATGTTAAAAATACCGCTAAACTGACAACATCAAGTGACAGGAATACAGTACAAATAAACACAAGACTCAGGACAAATAAATACATACTAGTAAATAAATAATATAATAGCAGATTACAACAAGTAAACCACAGAATAACAACGGCCACCTGCCATGAATTTACGACAGTACACCAGGACACAACAATAAATTTATAAACTGTGTTTCACACGAATTCATCAACGCCACAAAAAGTAGGCTGACTTCATTGACAATCAAATAATATACTAATTTTTATGAAATCGTGTATCATATCCTGATTTTCCTCAGCAGCAGTGATTGTTTGTGGCATGTATCTGATTAGGAAAAAGATTAGTTTGCCTCGTGGTGAAATTCCCTTTGTAACTTCAAAGTGTCAAATGTTAGAAAAATTAACCTCAAGATATAACAAGTGGAATGTGTATGTTTATTAATTGTATCCAAGATGTTTATCATAACATTAATTATATTTGTAAACTGGAATGGCTGTTTCATTTTATAAACAATAGTTTTATTACATACAAGTAAAATATGGAAAGACCTTATAAACGTATGCATTTAATGCACGCAATGATATTATCAGATTATTACATGGCATTTTCATATCGCATGTATTATCAGCACTAGGTTCAATATCAGCCCAAGAACCGCATGGCTCGAGGGCTGATATTGACCGAGGGCTGATAATACATGCGATATGAAAAATGACATGTTATTATCTTTTTATCATATGCTTCAACAATGGAGACAAATAACAGTTTAATATATTGATCCTCTTAAGTAGTTATCAAGTAGAAGTTCAAAAAGTGAAAAGTTTACTGACGACGGACTCCAAATGTAAAACATAAGATATGAAGTCTTTCTATTATATGGCTCAACAGAGGAAAAAAAACAACAGTTTAATATATTTCTATATAGTTGCTAAATTATGCTGGAAAGTTGATTGTAACATTGCCAGTAATATGTGCCCCAGAAAACATCTGAATTGTCTTGTCCTTGTAATTTTCATGAATTATTTCCGGTAATTCGGTCGTTTTCTTGGTAATATTTGACTTATAGTTAGTAATGTCTTTCAAAACTAGGCCTAATTCAGCTTCTTGTGAAGGTGATAGTAGTTGCTCATCATCGTCAGATGGCATGTCATCAATATTATTATTTTGATCTGTTTCTTTTTTCTGTTCAAGATGTTTTGCGATACCACCGCTGCCAACATTTGATAAAATATGAGACATTTCTTGTTGCTGATTCAAAGATGCACTACAATATTCATTAATAGATTGAACATTTTTGTGGCCGCTAACTTGCATAATTTGAGTAGGAGGGATTTTTTCATGTGCGAGAGCGGTGATTGTAGTTTTCCTAGCATTATGATTAATTTTACGCCCTTGGACGCCTGCCTCTTCACACATAGTTTTCACAAAATCAGAAAGTGTGTTTTTTTCCCATGGCCTGCTTCCGATACACTACAAACCAGTAAAAGTCTGAAATGGCCTATATCTGTACTCGACTGTACTGATTTTTACTCGACCAGTCTGAATTGGTCTGAAACTTACTTGATAATACTCGACTGTAGTCTGAACCATACTTAACAGTCTGAACTTGTACTCCACCAGTACTTAACCATTTTATACGTGTCTGAACCATACTCGACCTAGTCTGAACCATGCTCGACCTAGTCTGAACCATACTCCACCTAGTCTGAATCATGCTCGACCTAGTCTGAACCATACTCGACCAAGTCTTAACCAACCTAGACCTATTTTTTGTATCTATCTATTGTATTTCATCAATTTAGGAACTGTTTTTAACAACAGCTATTTCCCCTGGCTAGAAATTTGAACAACAATTTGAAATTAAAAATGTATTCAATATAGCATTGAAACCAAAATTTCACAATAAACATAATATAACTTCAACACCATATTCATCAACACTTATATACATACATATATATCACCTTTAAAATAAAAATAAAACAAGCTGATCAAATAATCTCAAAACTGAATTGCGACTAATATTTTCAATGTTATTCAAAACTTTTTGAATGTTTCAGTTATATTTTATGGTTACTGGACAATTTTCACCATTTACTTAAGCCTAGTAGAGATTTATGGTGTCAGTTGAGTTTAGTTAATAATGCAGTGAACATTTTTTTTATTAAAATATATATAAAATAGCATATAAAGCAACTTGATAAATTTTAAAAAATGACACCTTTGTTTTGTTAAACCAAGAATTTAATATAATCATGATAATAGAACTTCCATAGTAAACCTGTGATAAACTTTTAAAAAAGGAAATGTGTTCCAAAGTTACAGTAAAAATTTATTTCAATTAAATTTAAATAAATTTTGTCAAAATTAAAAGACATGGCATACAAGAAGCACTTTAATAAGGTTTAATTACCTCAGTACATGTATGTTTTACAGGTTAAAAGAAAGCCCTATTTTTCTTAAACTCGTGTATTACTTATCTAGTGAATTCAAAAGGCCTTGTGATTTAAGTTTCACAGGATGTTGCAATTTTGAATGAATGTTATTTAGAATTTAATACTCTCTGACCAGGTGTGATCTTTTTCATGAGTTTGCCCCAAGCAGGAGGTATTACTTTATACTTCACCACTAATCATAAGAACAATTTCATTAATTTCTTTAATTTTTATTCCTTTTTGATATATATTGTATATAATATATCCCAAATTATAATAATAGATATATTTCTGAAATAAGGTAAAACAATTTCAGTGATTTTGTTGGCTGTTGTTACCTCATTAAAAAGATAATTATATAACTATTGTACATTTTTTGTATGTAACCATGAAACCTATGTAGTTTTTATTTAGGAATTTAGGAAAATTAATTTAAAAAAAAAACACATGCCAAACAAGAAGCACCTTAATAAGGTTTAATTACCCTCAGTATAGGTGTGGTTTTTAGGTAAAAGAAAAACATTAAAATTAATATAATTAAATTATTACATAAGATAATTTGATTTAACTATCTCTATTTGATAAATCTGAGAATCATGTAAGAATGTAAAAATCTTTTTTTATAATATATCTTTATTTTATTGTGGCTGTTGTCATGTCAGTTAAAAAGAAATTTATTTTAACAGTTAGAATTTAGAAAAAGTAGAGGTTATTTGGTCAAGTATGGGTCAGACTGGTCGAGTATTGTTCAGACCTTTGGTCGAGTATGGTTTAGACTGAAAAAAATAGGTCGAGTACAGGTCGAGAATGGGTTAAGACAGTTTCAGACTGGTCGAGTAATAGTTCAGACTATTTTCAATGGCAAAGATAAGGGTCAAGTACAAATCAGTACAGTAGAGTATGGTTAAGACTGGGGTCGAGTAATGTTGAGTAAAATTCAGACCAATTCAGACTGGTCGAGTAAAAATCAGTACAGTCGAGTACAGATATAGGCCATTTCAGACTTTTACTGGTTTGTAGTGATACCATACCCCATCTTTGACATCTCGGTTAATTCCATAATAAAAAGGACCATCAGCTTCCAACATGTCTTTCGGTCTTCTCTTGGCATACTCTAGGTAAGTAGCAACAGGACATCTATGATTTCCTAAAAAACAATAATAGCATTAAACTTACATTAGTATTGCAAATTAAAGGTTTTTATACATAATAGTACATATTTTATTTATTTATCTGTTGTTTAATTAGAATTTTGTTTCACCCCCTTTTTGAATTTTTTTCTGAAACAATAAACACAAAAGCATGATGTCAAGTTTGTTGGTTTTTGTGATTGAAATATGTGTTTTCTCTGTTTTGTATTATTTTGTTGATTTATTTACCAAGATTTGTTTGCATTTTGTTAATTTATTTTTAATGAAAGTCGGTGTTGAAGGGGTTCAAGCGTGATAAGTTATTGACCTTTTCCAGTAAGCGTGATATGTGATTATCAGACAAAATAAGCGTGAAAATGTGAACATACCCTCTCATGGTTTTTAAATTTCAGCAAATTATAAACGTAATATGTGAAAAAAAATGTTCTTCTCAAGTCTAAGTGAAAACATTTAACAAGTGAACACTCTAAAATATAAGAATGATCGTGTAAAAGGGACCTTTATCTTCAAACATTTTGGCCTGGAATGGTCTTGCATCTTTTGTAGCACCAGTCCGTGCATTGGTCTGCTTTTCTGTATGTTCTAAATACATGTCAACCGCCGGATGGCACATTCCTTTCAATATCGCCCCAACGTAATGTAGTGTGCTCTTCCCGGGAGCGTAGTCCAAAGTGTAAGGAATTGTTAAGCCATACAGTGTGAATGAGTGCACCTGGATTACCTGGAATATGATTGAATATGGTAAATACAAACATTGTGTTTACTTTATTTCTTCAGATACATATTTATTTGTATATTCATTGTGAAATTTATGTTTGGTAGCGCCACTAATTAGTAGTAGTTTCATAATTTGATAACCAGAACCATTTTATATGTTTACATTCATTTCGAAAGTACAATATTTATCAATAATATGTTATTTAAAGTATTCACCTATACCAAGCTGGTCTTTGTTTATACAATATGTTGATTTCTTCGGTGGTGAAAGGTTCTGATCTTTTTTTTTTCTCCTAACCCCATTGTCTTAAGTTCCTTCGTCTTCGCCGAGAGAACCTCTCTAGAATGATTGAATTCTTTGTCTTTTATAATGAAAATACTCAATTTATCAGTCAGATAGCTTGAGATGCTACTCTGGAACGCCTTCACAGTTCCTGGTCCATATGGGGTACCATCTGATTTTGTCACCTTCATAAAGAAACTTGCGAGAAGTTTGTCCAGTTCAAACACGGGGATTTCCTCAATGTTTCTATGTTCATCGTTTGCTGTTAGCCAATTTGTAAAAATATTACAGTCACTTGAGGTCTTCCGTTTGGTATTTTTGTTTTTCATAGTCTCTACAAATTCTAGTGTCTCGTTCATCTCAACTTTGTTTGGCAGGATTATCGTCTGTACTGTTCAGTTCTGCCATTTTGAAAACAATTACCGGTCTTCCGTTTGGTGTTTTTGTTTTTCATAGCCTCTACAAATTCCAGTGTCTCGTCCACCTCAACTTCCTTTGGCAGGATTATCGTCTGTACTGTTCAGTTCTGCCATTTTGAAAACAATTACCGGATTTTGCCGAGTGTTGACGGAGAGGTATGTGATAACATTGACGGAAAGGCATGTGATAATTTCCGAAGCATGTGATAAACTTTTCATATCAGCCCACTAAGCACCAATTCGAAAAATATGGAATTTACGTAAATTTAATGCTATTATCATACGGTAAAATTCATATGTTATTTAGTCTAAGTATATGATAAATCTAAATATTCATTAACGATGAGAGAAAGACCCTGGCAAAAAATATAACCTATTTGGCGAATAAGAAATAAAAAAATGTGAAAAACTAAAGATAGCCATTGTGAAATAGATAGGGAATTATCGACCAGTAAGTATTTATTGCCTCAAATCTTGAATCCTTTAAATAACATATTAATGGAAGTTTACAGCTTGTTTCCGATACCTGTTAATTATTCAATTGTGTTTATATGTTTATGCCAAATTGGGTATATTAATAACTTTAATTTAATTAATAAAATATGTATATACCAATGTCTTTAAAAGGATAAATGTTAAAAACTGGCGAATTCAATGTATGAAGTACATTTTCAGTAGATATTAATTTACCTATACTTATCTTATCGATCTCACAAAACCACCAACATCAAAAAGATTCCTACATATAGCCCCACCGAATAATTTGTAAAAATTATAGCTAATGAACATTTATTGAGGTTATAAAAATAAGAAGATGTGGTATGAGTGGTAATGAGACAACTCTCGATCCAAGTCACACATGTGTAAAAAGTAAACAAATATAAGTCAAAGTACGGCCTTCAACACGTATCCTTGGCTCACATCGAACAGCAAGCTATAAAGGGCTCCAAAATGACTAGTGTAAAACAATTCAAACAGGAAAACCAACGGTCTAATCTATACAAAAAACGAGAAACGAGAAACACTTATGAACCACATCAACAAATGACAACCACTTAACGACAGGCACCTTACTTAGGAAAGTGCAAACAAATGCAGCGGGTTTAAACGTTTTTACAGGCGCCAACCTTCACCCTTACCTGAAATATAAGTGCAACATTACATCATACTGAGGTTATGTTTGTTAAATGGTTAGATTGTTTCTTATCTGACCGGAAACTATAGATTATGTAAATAAGCTCAAAGTTGAAATCTTGGCAACTTTTTATTCTTATGCTATGTCAACGATATGTCCATTTGTGTCCACACAATTTACGAAAAAACAAATATGACAAACTAGAAACAAAGAGATATCCAAAAGTCTCCTGCCTTGTGACAGACATTCGATTCTAATAATTACATTATTGTGTTATGTTTCAGTGCATTTTTTTAACATTGTCACGGATAGCATGTGCAGTCATAGATTTCGTATTTTATACGGAAATATAATATGATATTTGAGATGTTGGAGTGCCTCACAATTGTTTTCAGCCAATTAAAATTCCAGATGCTAATTGTACGTAATAATTATTTACTATCACAGCCTTGATCAATAATCAAATTGAATATTTTCATCAATAACAAGAAAGGAATATATTCATATCAATTAGCTTGATGAGTTTTTTCGTGATGTTGTAGATTACTTTTGGGGTTTGACCCAGTCTTTTGGAAGCTTTGACTTTCCACATACTTTGTTTAGTTCTCGTTGAAATGTTCCTGTATGTTTCGGATGCCCCTTTAATTCGTTTTCTGGCTTATAGTAGTACTTTGTTTTAGTTTCAACTTTAGAATCAGTTGGCGAGTCAGTGTTGATGCCATTCGGATTGTTAGATAGATTTTATCCAGCGGCTTCGTATTTATCCCGCGTATCATCAACACATAAGTTTGTTGGATTGTTCTCATCTCCTTCCAATGAATATAATCGTTCATACTTATCATCCTGATATATGCTGTCATCTAACTCTCTTTTTTCATTTTGTGACTGACCACCTTTTCTACCAGAAATATGCAATTCGCCATATTTCATATCTGATCGTACGCGAGAGTGATGACATTCTTCTGAAAATGTATTTTCGTGTTGATTCATGGGACTACACTGATGTAGCATATATTTATCTGTAGAGTTTTCAAATTTATTTTCAAGGTTATTAATATTTGTTCCTGTCTGTATGTCACTGCTATCTTTATCATCTAAGATGAATATATTTGGTTCCTGCTTGTCTTTAATATAAATCGATTCACTGTCTTCCCTCAGACGACTATAAGTTTGATTAATCTTTTCAGCATCTTCCGTTTTCAAGCTACTTCCTGGTTTAACATCTTTGTTCAGGCCAGATTGGTTTATATTGCAACAATGTAAGGGAGGCAACGTATTGGTACCAGTAAAACACATAACAGAGTCATCTGTATTTGCAGGTACTTTTTCTATAGAATCGCCATTGGATTTATTTTCTTTACTAGTGTAAAGTTGGTTTACGATTTTTGAATACTCATTTTGTGATACATCATCAGTTGGGTGCTCCGTTTTGCTAGGATCATTATTATTTAAACCGGCACCACTGTTATGGAAATCATCTTTAAGTGCATTGGTAGTGCTTTGCAAAGAATCAGAAATAGCATTGCCTTGTTCTTCATAGACATTTAATGCTTGATCTTGATTCTTAGTTTCATTAGAAAAATGCATGTCATTTGTATGAAGTGGAGCCGTAACTGTAGCATCATTGTTACCACTCAGATTTATAGGTTTACACTTTTTTTGTGGTGCAAATATGTCTTCTGAAGAATTTTTCCGAGCGGCTGTTTTATCCACATAATTAGTCTGCACCGTCCCCTTTGTTAAAACTGGGCCATCCTTATGTAAAAGTAGAGCTGGCCAAACAGTTATACCTGGTCTATTATACTTATTGAATTTATTTGAATCCATAAGTTGATCTCCAACATTGTCATACTCAATCTCCATTGGTGGATTCGACAAAAGTATATACCAGCACAGTTCTGAACATTTCATTATTAAATGTTTTTCGCTTTCAAACGAATTTGGGTTTGATGTACTATATTCTTCACAACATTTCTGAAAAATAATGAAATTAGAAATTTTTTGTGAAAAGGCAGAATATGTTTCTAGTCTTACTGGTGACTCAGGACAATTTGTTTCCCTCAACTGGGATTTTTTCCAAAACCTTTCTGAATACAGTTCAGAATATAAAATCTAGGAAGAACTACACGTACGATCAAGTTTGTTGCCTCCTTTACATGACTTATTAGATAATACGTCTTCGATAAATGTTCGATGGACCCATGAAAACCACGAGAGAATGATATTGGGAACATATTTATACATGTGTACTAGTTGGGATCTTTTATCAACATTTGGTTTTTTTTGTCTCTCCTTGTGCTAAGTTCTACATGACAAATATTCTAACTTCAAATTTCCTAATTCAAAGAATTGTACAGAATGTTAATTATGGATTCAAAAATAATGGACGAAATTGGAAGATGCCAAATACATGTACATGACACGGAAATGTGATAGAGTTTTTGTAGTTTTGGTAAATATAGTTATTTCTAACCAATACGCATCATGGACGGGTTTCAAAAAAAAAAAAAAAACGATTTCAAATAGGCAATCAAAATAAAAGTTGCAATAATAACTATTATTTTGCTGCACTAGTGGAACCCGTTGTGCTACTCATTGCAAATAAAGTATGGAGACAAGTCGCATTTATAATGTCACAATCAAAGAAAAAGAAGTAGTAAAAATACAAAAGAATAAATAAAGAGTTATGCCATTATTCTGCTTATATATAAGAATATTTTTTTCCCTCTAAAATCATTAAGACTATAGTGATATGAAAATGAGCTTTGTTATCTAACGGTGTCTTGGCTTTGGTGAAAGTCGTTGGTTGCTGTCTGTTATAATTGTTTTTCGTTCATTGTTTTGTCATAATTCAGGCCGTTGGTGATTTCGTTTGAATTATCTCATATTTTTTCATGTCGAGGCTTTTTATAACTGACTAAACGGTATGTGTTTTGCCCATTGTTAAAGATCGTAGGGTTGCTTCAGTCTGCTTCATTTTGACTCTGTTGGATAATTGTCTCATTGTCAATCATACCACAACTCCTTATTTTATATTACTCATTTACTTACGTTTATGAAACTTTCACTGTTGGACGGGTTATACATACTTTATTGTAGATCGATGGTACCCGTGTTTTAAATTTCAAGCATGTTTATTTACCAATGTTATAGCATACCTTCTTAACAGTCTCAACTAAAGTCGTACTACATTGGAGTTTAATCTTTACATTTTCCGCGAAGGATTTCATTGCTTCTATCAACGTTTTATCCTCAGTACCAAAGTTACCTTGAATTTGTTTATTCTGCGTGGAATAAAATGTATATACACTACAACAATAAATAAAGGAACAAATTGATGCAAAAAGAAAAAAAAAACAGTTGTCTACAAACGCCGCAAACTCAGTTTTTTTGGGGGTTGATATGTCTATCTGTCAGTCTGTTGATGTGCCTTACAAGCGCCACTCATTTTCCGATAGAGATATAGGGATGAAACGTAACACTTTTGTAGAACACTACTGTAAAATATGATGTAAGAAATGTATTTTCGGTCTTACACGTTATGGGAAGGTTAACAATCAATTCTTTACGTCATTATGTGGTAATATTTTCTCATCAGCGCAACTCTTCCTTAACGGCTTGCCAAATATTTATGAAACGTTAAACAGTTGTAGAACACTACCTGTTGGTGTACATCCTAGTCCAACGTGTTAAAGGGGTGATAGTTCTATTTACTAACAGTACTGCGGGGAAGCTGTCTCCCTTTGCGAATTTACTCCTGGTTATAGTTTATACGAGAGCTCGACCAAGCCCTAAGATGATTCCAGTGTTCACCAATAACATGAATAAAGGAGCAACCGAAGTTGACAATGTTTTTTGTGACATTCTGTCACGAACGGGGTTATTATAGAAGTAATTGTCCCGAACATGACTATTATTTTCAAAATGGACCGCTGATACTGTATATTTGAAATGCGATCTGTTTTAATTCTTTTTTGAAAATTTCTGCTTGATCAAAATGTACAAAACTGAAAACCTTTGACATGAATATTGTATGTATGGTACGATAAATTGATATGAATATTTCAAAAATTTCAATTCAGAAGGAGTCACAAAACTAATATTCTGGATATGTTATGAATGGAACAAGTTTAAGCACTACACGTATTTCTAGAATAATCTTAATAAGGTGAGCTAAGACTACAAAATTGAAAATAAAACCTAATGAATAACGCGTATTGAAGCATTAAAGCCAATCAATTTTCTGTCAACATTGATTGAAGAATATGCAACCTAAATCTTAGTACAACTAAATATATAACTTACGTTTTCGTCCTCCTTCGATTTTATACCGAGCAGATGAACGAACCGTACGACTTCCCATAAGGTTTCATGGATTTTATAATTTTGTTCTTTTGCTATTTCTAAACATCTCTTGTAACACCACTAAACGAGAGAACACATAAAAATATTTGCTTTAGCAAAGCAGAAGGTACATTTTGAGGCTAGTTTCTTTACATAAATTGTATGAACATATTATTTATCTAATTTTGAACTTCAGAATAAAGTCTATATATAAATGCAAATACAAAAACATCATTTGCAACATTTGAGCGGATTATGATAAACATCGGAATATTTAGACTAAACATTTGATATTAATTCGAAAAATTATGAGTTAATACTTACATCAACAATCTTGAGCAGTTGCTTTTCTGGTAGTTCATTGTTGTTGCCCGGTCTTTCATGCTGTTTAGTTAGGTTTTCGTAGACATCTTTCCATTCATCAGTATACAATGAAGCCCAGCGTTCTCCAATTTTTGCAGGCCTGTTTGGATTTCCAAGATCGGTTATGGCTGGATTCCCATCCGTGAGTTTTTGACCTGCTAGTTTACTTAATCTAAAACCAATTTAGGAATACACACTTAATTGCATTCTTTAACTCTAATTGCTAACAATGCAGATAATGAAATCAAGTCATCATGCATTAACAATTTGATTATATAGACATGGAAATTGAATTGTACACACGCCAAAAAAAATTGTGTCTAAATGGTACAACTGATTCACATTCATAGCAGATTTTTAAAGAAAAGCCCAGAGCAGAAATCTTACAAAGACAACCAACAGAAATAAATGAAACTGGTTTGGAGAGCGTATTTAATCATATCGAATATCAAATAAATTGTATGCCCGAGCAAACATTTCCTATTTCTTTTGTTAAACAGTAAAACTAGTGAAAACAATAAATCTTTTAATTCTTCAATAAAGAAGAAAAAAACATCTTGCTGTGGGAAAGCAAATATATTAAGGCCAACCGTTTAAAAATACGTCATTGTTTTTTTAACAACGGTGATGATCGCTATACGACATCTGCGGCCTAAATGTACCTAATTATTTTTTATCATTCAACAAATATATTCTTACATACAGTTGCTTACCAATTTACACGAACGAGTATGTGATACATAGAGGATTGAACTTGTGTATGGACTCATTATACATATTATAGGTTAAACATGTTGATGAGAGAGCTCCTATTAACCTGGCACAGTGGTGTAACAACACAACATGGGAATACAAATCAGTAGAAAATGGATCCACTCATCAAATCGGTACTAAGGATACACATATTTTTTCGATCATTTTTTGTACATAAAATAGGCCGTTAGTTTTCTCGTTTGAATTGTTTTACATTTGTCATTTTGGGGACTTTTATAGCTGACTATGCGATATGGGCTTTGTTCATTGTTGAAGGCCGCACAGTGACCTATAGTTGTTAATTTCGGTGTCATTTGGTCTTTTGTGGAGACTTGGCAGTCATACAAGACCTTCCTATCATATAAATAAATAAAGAGACAAAAGACACAAAATTCCGATCTAAGAATTACTAACAGCTATTGAAGGCTCGTTTGAAAGACTAATAACATGCTCGCCAATATTTAAACATCAATGAGTATACTTCCATTGGAATTAGTCTAAAGACTTCATAAGCATTCTGAGAAAAAAACATGACCTTATGCAATTCAAAGCACTTATGTGAAGTGCTAATACAAATGATACCTGGCTATACTGAGTGTGACAACTACCCAGTACGTGTGAACTTGAATTATATGTCCTTTACTATGTAGAGGCTGAGATATGCATTTAATTACCATGGAATTGTATATGTTGTATTGGAAACACCTGTAATGAAATTTTTAAGCGTTATACCACATGATACAGGATGCGTATTCTGACAAGAGTTCCGAAAGACTTCTTAAAACCCTATGTAACAAGAAAACATGCATGAAATAATACCGAACCAAACAATCAACTCCTTTAATATATCAATAAATACACTTGTAGTTAATAAAAATAAGAAAGTGAGGAAAGCGATAAGTTTTTAATATTTCATGAATAGGAGTAGATTAAACTTAGCTAATCATCAAGTCGGACGTTGGGCTGTAGAAATGTGAAAATGGTGGAAGGGTAGTATGTTCACAAAAAGTAGGGGGAAGAGAAAAGCATAGCACTCTAGCTCCTACGCTCCTGTTAATATTTCATTAGGAGACACTATAAATAAGATGAGCTGTGGGTAAACGTCACTGAGACAGACACCCAGCATTAGGAATAACAAAAAGACATCTAGAAACAACACAGACAGGTGACCATACAATAGGTAAACTATAAATCATACTTTAAATTGTGAATTAATTTAAAAGAAACTTACAAAGATCTGACATATGTGTTACCATTCTTAGAATTTGGATATGAAAACAAGATTAACTCAAGCTTAACTTTTATCTGTAAAACTTCATCAAAGATATCAGGCTGTTTTCGGGTTTTATTGTATTGTTTCACATGCTGTTACTTACCTCGATAATGCGTCGTCCTTTTCTTTTTCTAGCGTTGCCTTTTCTTTCTTCAATCGCTTATTTTCACTTATTAAAGTATCGTTTTCCTTGTTAAGTTTTTGAAGACAGATTTCCTTTGTCTCTAACACCATTTTCAAATTTTCTTCATTTTCAACAACATGACTTTCAAGTTCCTTTCCAAGACTCATTGTATTTGTAAATTTATGTTCTATACTACCCCTTGTATTGTGTACTTCCCAAGCCTATAGTGAAGAAGAAAAATGTTTCAGGAAATCATCACCTATTAACTACAAAGACGGCTGAATCAAATAGTGTTGTTTTTCTTCAAACAGTGATATGTTCAACGTGTGGTAGGTCGTGATAGTCTTGCAGCAATTTAGGTAGAAGAGACCATTTTGTTTTTTTCTATAATTTTTGCGGAGAATGAAAAGCATTTAAATTTGATAGAATATTCAATTAGAAGGTGTATATGATTATCATAATATATCATGCATTGTGTATTGCTTTGTTTGTCTCCCAATTGATCACGAGTAATTGTTCTTGACTATTAAACTATCGGTATCAGTTTATCATGTTTATATAATTTTTACTCATAGTGGATTTCTTAGAAATGACGTATATATTTTTCGATGTAACAAAGACCAGAATGAATCACTGCTTATGTCGCCATTCTATATTTTTGCGGATACGCCTAAATTAATTGTTATCTTGTATTGATGCGCTATAACAAACCTCCATCAGTCAAGTAGGAAAATTGAATAATTATCTTTTAAGAAACATTTGAGATGAATCGTATTTGAAAGCGAAAGTGGAGTAACATTGTTGGAGAAATTATAAACTGAAAGAAAGGTGTTGCTTGGAATGTTTAACAATTTAATATTTATTGAGAAATAAGTAGTATCGGTTTACAATCTATAACTTACCCCATACTAAATCAAATAACAATATTAAGTTAATTGGCTGTTTTCTATAAGGAAGTAAAAACTCTTCATTATCTATAAATAATGTATTAGAAAAAATGACTTCTGACATGCATATCAAATAACAGTATTAACAATAGTATTGGGACGTGGATTTTAAATATGCATAATAATTATCTGCTTGTTAAAGGCAAAGTGTACGTAATAAACTATTCCACAGGTTTTTAAAAATATGATATGAATAGTGCTTGTACAAATACATTAGAAAATAATAAAAAATATGTGGGTTTCCGTAACCCATGAGCCGATTTTTTCGAGACACTGACATTTATAGCACGATACGCCAAAGATACAAAGAGTAAGAAAAATCATAAAAAGTCGATAAGTATTTTCTGATTTATTAGTCCACAGAATTAGAAAAAAAGTTACATGAATGAAAACTATATTTAATTGGTAAAGAGAGAGTACTTAGCAACCTTTTTTGTTTGTTTTCAATCTATATTCTGTGACATATTGAATTTCAAAGGAAATTGTTGAATTATGCAGCGGCATTATTGGTATATTGAATTTCAAAGGAAATTGTTGAATTCTGCAGCGGCATTATTGGTGTCACAGTGACGATAAGCGTTAGTGTGTATCTGCCATTTTGATTGTTAAAATTTAATATACATGTATCCAAAACTTTCAATCGAGAAAAAGTAATTTTTTATCATTTTTATGTACATTTCTGTCATAAGCTCTTCAAATGCTTCTGTGGCTTTCTAATAGTCGGCTTTGGTCGTTCCTGATTAAGGCAAATCCAGAAAAGCGATTTGGACGCATGAGAGATTTAAACTGTTGTTTTCATTTTTTCCAGAGGTTCGGTGGAAAGGGGAGGGGATAAATTGTCAAGATTTAATATTTTTGATATCAACTTTTGACGAAGGTCATACTTGTATTCTCAACTCACTAAAGACATGATTTTGCAATCATTAGATAAAAGATAGTCGTCTAATCTGTACTCTAATCAAATGTAACATTTTGACTGAGTGGATTCGCATGACGGGTGATGGATGCATATCAGGAGACGGTTACCTTGTCGATGCACCCAATATTGCTCCTTTATGAGTTCGTGCGATTTCCTCTGTTTTTGTTTGTTACCTTGATTTGTCTTTTTAATTGATTTATGAGATTTGAACTTCGGTAAACTACTGTTGCCTTAGTGTATCACCAATGACAACCGGGCGTCATAGTTACTGAGAAACTATCTACTCTTGGGGCGGTATAAATCAGAATTACATGTAATACCAAAAAAAAAAATCAAAAGATCTGTTTTAGTGCATACAACCTCAGTCTCTTTCTTCTAACAATCGTATAAAACATTTGGCTTTTCTTTCCAAAACATTAGTTATTATTTATAAACTTAAAAACAGATAAAAATAATTAGTCTAGCTTTGTTTCATAAATCATAATGACCAACAAGTATCTTATTTAAGGGAGAGATGGATCATACTTTGTTAAAATAACTCTGATTAAAACAAAAATTTCTCACCAAGATAGATGCTAATTTGTTTTTTGATTGATTGTAAAGTTTGAAGGACGTGTTTTTCTACTGGCAATCAACATTCATTTCGGAAACAACTACTCTTTTTGTAGAGGCGTTCCTTGATTCGTATGAGACAGACCTCATAAAGGAGCTTATCATGCAGATAAAAGAGATGATTTTTCATTTCCTATTGTTAATTATCCATTTTTAGATGGTGAGGTTCCCTTGTCACCATCTTATGGTGTTTATATATCTCAACTTGTTCGATTTGCTCGTGTATTTAACAACGTATTTGATTTAAACGAAAGAAATCTCTATATTACTGAATAATTATTACACCAAGGTTTTCGATATCACAAACTAGTCCAAATATTTACTTAATTTTATCATCGGTACAAGGACATCATTCGTAAATATAAATCAACATGCAGACATATTATACGTTCAGGTATTTCACATCCAATCGTTTATGGTAATATTCTGTAAAAGCACAAAAATATCGTCATTCAACTAAAAAGCTAACCAAACCTTTGAACAGACTTATTCAGAAGGGATATAGTTGCGATACTGTTGTCAGGTCATTAAAGATGGTATATTTTTGAATGAATATTGATTCACTCATAGGGTCTTTGCATCGGAAAAAAACATATTTATTCTAAAACCAGTTGTTGGCAACATGCGGGTTATTTTCTTCTCATATATTTTATGATGGTATGATACTAAACCCCTAACGGGAGGGATTGTGCTTGATTTTCATAAGATGAAGACATAATCTTTCAATCAGTTTAATTAAGGTCTGGAGCTGGCATGTCAGTAACTGCTAGAAGTCTTTTGTTCATTTATGTATCATTGTCATTTTGCATAGTTTCTTCTGTTACCTATTTTGACATCGGATTCGGATTTCTTTTAAACTGAGTTGTACTGTGCGTATTGATGTGTGTTTGTTTATTCAACATTAGCTTGAGATGTAGGGGGAGGGTTGAGATCTCACAAAACATGTTTAACCCCGCTGCATTTTTTAGCCTGTCCCAAGTAAGGAGCCTCTTGCCTTTGTTAGTCTTGTTTGTTTTTTTTTTTAATTTTAGTTCATTTATATGTTGCACAGTTTAGTGTGAAGTCCATTTGCACTGAACTAGTACACATTTTTGTTTAGGGGCCAGCTGAAGCCCGACTCAGGGTGCGGGATTTTCTCGTTGTGTTGAAGACCCATTGGTGGCTTTGGGCTGTTTTCTGCTCTTTGGTCGGGTAGTTGTCTCTTTGACACATTCCCCATTTCGATTCTCAATTTTAGAATGAAAAGTCCTTTAACTTCACGTTTCGCTATATAGAAGATTTCAAAATTATTCAACATTTGGTGACTATGTTGAAAACATTGATAACATCGATTTAGAATTCAACGTCTTGTGACTATGTTGAAAACATTGATAACATCGATTTCGAAATCGGATACCACAATTAAAATTAAATCTGACTTATATCAAGACTTACATCTTTAATTTGACAATTAGGGTCACTTTAGAGAAAAGACCTGATGACATAACTACCATTGCCAAGATCTTCTGTTAATTTACAAATAATAACATCGTTTGAAATACTATGCGTATATTGCTAAAGCATGATTTGTCACACTTTTTTTTATTTCAAATACTTTTCAAATAACCTTCCAACTGATTTATTGAGCACGACTGATGAGTTTTATTTAGACGAACTAAATCATGAACCATGTAACTTGATGAGTTTTTACCACTTGGTTGTTGCAATTGCTGGTGTACTCATCTTCCCTCTGGATATTAACACTTAGCATTTTTTTATTCTGATATGAAATATTATCGATTGGGTTGATCTTTGTAGATTTACTCTTTAAAAAATTATGAAATCACTGGTTTATAACACTGATATATTTTATTGCACACTATTGCTTTTAACAATTTACTTAGTGTACAGTTTTGCACTAAATATCCCTGACATATTAGTTATTAGGTATCCAGGGAGAATATCTAATTGAAGTAAAGTAAATTGATATATTACAGTACAATATTAATGATTTTATGTTTTCTTTTGTAGTCCATTTTTCTCCGATAATGGTTTTTCATGATTTTTTTTACCGCGAAGCATAGCTGAACAAAGCAAGGGTTAACTTTGTACAATTTTTCAACTTTTGGTTTAAATGCGCTTAAACTGAAAAACAACCTTAATTTGCAGTAGACCGAATAATCTGTCTCTTGTGTGTTTATATATGCCATTTCATATTTCCTTTTTATTATTTGGATTTTTTTTTTACTGTTCACACGGAGACAGAAAGCACTGCTTTGGGCAAAAGTAAATTAAAATCCAAATGTAAAAGAGAATATGAAATGACAAACATTAAACACACAAGAGACAGATTATTCGGTCTAAATTTGCTGTTGAATAGATTTTTTAAGTACTTCGATTCGAGCACCATGGATACGATTTATGTGGAAGAAACGCGAGTCTGGTGTGCCAAAATACAAACATGAGTGTTTTACCTACTCTTCTAATCATGATTGAATTTATGTTGTAATTTTTTTAAAAAGGTTTTACTACAAGTATCGCATACACTTAACATTACAAATCCTCCATGTAAATTGAGTCAATTTCAGATGAACTTTGCCAGACAGAAATGTACATCTTTCAAACATTTCATACACCAATTATAGTTGACCAATTTATCATAGTGTCTATGAAACATATGTAACCACAAATAACATAGACCACTGAATCCAGAAAATGAACTTAAAGTCAGATGAAACATACCAGACAGACAT